GTTTGTGGGTGGTCAGACCTAGCCATTAGAGCCAGAGTCTGCAGTCACAAAACAGGAGTCAGGAGGGTCAGGATGCCAGGGAAGCGGGAGCAGGAAGCACAGGGCACGCAGCCCAGAACAGGGTGGAGCACAGCTTCCTGTTCCTTCCTGCTGCTGTCTTAAATAGGGCCAGCAGACCAATCAGCTGCTCTGGGACTCCACCAATAGATCTGCAGGGGCAGAGCCTCATAACGGGGCTGGGTTCATGGGGCCCAGGTAAGCAAGTACCTGCAGGCTGCCAGATGTAGAATGGGACCATGGCTGCTCTTTTAAACCCTGCAGACCCAAGTTTGAGACCCACAGATCATGACACCTTGCAACTCTTTATGGCAACTAGCTGTTCCTAGATATGTCACCACATATTCACTACTTCTAGCAATGATAGGCGCACGTGGTACCTTGATATTTCTGCTAAAATTATCAGTAGTGAAATTATTAGCAATGCTGACATTTAGTTTTGTCATCATTCTGGTTCAGAGTTAACACCCCATTGATAGAAGTGTAAGCAGCTTACAGTTCTCTCAAAATGATTGTTTCAAAATGACATCAGTGTCATTTTATACCTGATTCATACTGTAAAGGTAATCTTCACAACAATCACATCTAGAGATTTCCTTCTTAAAAAGAATGGAAGCTTAGCTCTGGAGCAAAATTACATGGCAATTTCTGGAAATAGGGCAATTATGGGGCCATTTGAACCACTGCATAATCATATTATAGATGGGGTCCTGTGTGTATGTGATTCAAAAGTCAAGTATTCCTAGGCGTGCAATGTTGTCTAGCATTTGACCTCTTATAGGACTGTCATAAATATAAAGGGAAGGGTAAACCCCTTTGAAATCCCTCCTGGCCAGGGGAAAGCTCCTCTCACCTGTAAAGGGTTAAGAAGCTAAAGGTAACCTCGCTGGCACCTGACCAAAATGACCAATGAGGAGACAAGATATTTTCAAAAGCTGGGAGGAGGGAGAGAAACAAAGGGTCTGTGTGTCTGTCTATATGCTAGGTTTCAGAGGAACAGCCGTGTTAGTCTGTATTCGCAAAAAGAAAAGGAGTACTTGTGGCACCTTAGAGACTAACCAATTTATTTGAGCATGAGCTTTCGTGAGCCACAGCTCACTTCATCAGATGTGTACCGTGGAAACTGCAGCAGACTTTATATACACACAGAGAATATGAAACAATACCTCCTCCCACCCCACTGTCCTGCTGGTAATAGCTTATCTAAAGTGATCAACAGGTGGGCCATTTCCAGCACAAATCCAGGTTTTCTCACCCTCCACCCCCCCACACAAATTCACTCTCCTGCTGGTGCTAGCCCATCCAAAGTGACAACTCTTTACATAATCAAGTCGGGCTATTTCCTGCATAGATCCAGGTTTTCTCACTTCCCCCCCACCCCCATACACACACAAACTCACTCTCCTGCTGGTAATAGCTCATCTAAACTGACCACTCTCCAAGTTTAAATCCAAGTTAAACCAGAATATCTGGGGGGAGGGGGGTAGGAAAAAACAAGAGGAAACAGGCTACCTTGCATAATGACTTAGCCACTCCCAGTCTCTATTTAAGCCTAAATTAATAGTATCCAATTTGCAAATGAATTCCAATTCAGCAGTTTCTCGCTGGAGTCTGCATTTGAAGTTTTTTTGTTTTAAGATAGCGACCTTCATGTCTGTGATTGCGTGACCAGAGAGATTGAAGTGTTCTCCAACTGGTTTATGCATGTTAGAATTCTTGACACCTGGATCTATGCAGGAAATAGCCCGACTTGATTATGTAAAGAGTTGTCACTTTGGATGGGCTAGCACCAGCAGGAGAGTGAATTTGTGTGGGGGGGTGGAGGGTGAGAAAACCTGGATTTGTGCTGGAAATGGCCCACCTGTTGATCACTTTAGATAAGCTATTACCAGCAGGACAGTGGGGTGGGAGGAGGTATTGTTTCATATTCTCTGTGTGTATATAAAGTCTGCTGCAGTTTCCACGGTACACATCTGATGAAGTGAGCTGTGGCTCACGAAAGCTCATGCTCAAATAAATTGGTTAGTCTCTAAGGTGCCACAAGTACTCCTTTTCTTTTTGTCTATATGCTGGTTTCTGCCTGGGATAGACCAGGAATGGAGTCTTAGAACTTTTAGTAAGTAATCTAGGTAGGTATGTGTTAGATTATAATTTCTTTAAATGGCTGAGAAAAGAATTGTGCTGAATAGAATAACTATTTCTGTCTGTGTATCTTTTTTGTAACTTAAGGTTTTGCCTAGAGGGGTTCTCTATGTTTTTGAATCTAATTACCCTGTAAGATATCTACCATCCTGATTTTACAGGGGGGATTTCTTTATTTCTATTTACTTCATTTTTATTAAAAGTCGTCTTGTAAGAAAACTGAATGCTTTTTCATTGTTCTCAGATCCAAGGGTTTGGGTCTGTGGTCACCTATGCAAATTGGTGAGGCTTTTTATCCAACATTTCCCAGGAAAGGGAGGGTGCAAGTGTTGGGAGGATTGTTCATTGTTCTTAAGATCCAAGGGTCTGGGTCTGTAGTCACCTAGGCAAATTGGTAAGGCTTTTTACCAAACCTTGTCCAGGAAGTGGGGTGCAAGGTTTTGGGAAGTATTTGGGGGGGAAAGACACGTCCGAACAGCTCTTCCCCAGTAACCAGTATTAGTCTGGTGGTGGTAGCGGCCAATCCAAGGACAAAGGGTGGAATATTTTGTACCTTGGGGAAGTTTTGACCTAAGCTGGTAAAGATAAGCTTAGGAGGTTTTTCATGCAGGTCCCCACATCTGTACCCTAGAGTTCAGAGTGGGGGAGGAACCTTGACAAGGACATATTAATGGTACACATAACATATAGATAAACAAAGCTATAATTTTCTAGGAGGTGTACCGAAAAAGTCATGCTTATTTACTTGCATACTACATGTTAGGAGATCATGAGATAAATCCTAGAAAATATAGCAAAGGAAATGTAATATAAATTATCCATTTCTAACTTATTACTTTTTTTTTTCACTGGATAAGCCTGTCCTTTGCATGGGAAGCTCTTCTACTCTGAAGGTTTTATTTTTAACATTTAATAAGCAGAACATTTGCTCTGAGGCAACAGGTTAGAATGACTTTTAGAATGACTTTTAGAACTGAGCAGATGCTTCATGCACAAAGCCTGACTGATATACAAATCTAACCATGTTCAGACCTTAAGGCTTTGTCTGGGTTTCTGATTGAACTCTTAAAGCTGGTAAGATTTTTGACCTTTTCCGCTATGTTTCTGTGCATCTCTATACTCCATTTCTTTCTATCAATCCTGATTTTTTCTCCAGTGGAGTTTTAGTATGATATTGTTTGGTAGCGCTACACAGATTGACCTGAAATTTACTTTTTAAGGGTTCTGGATGGTTGACAGATTTGCAGCCCTCTGAGATTCAAACTCTAAAGCTCATATAAACTGGCTGCACGCTGGGCCATCATATTCAGGAGACAAGACATTTTGGTACATAAGGCCAGGAAAAAAGCCCTGCTGCACAGCTTTGAATAGCACAGTTGTTCTTGGTTAGGGCTTGTCTATACTTACATGTTACAGTGCTCTAACTTGCTGGCTCAGGAGTGTGAAAAATCACCCCCCTGAGCGCAGCAAGTCTGAGCGCTTTCAAGCACTCATGTGGACAGGCTCCGAGTGCTGGGAGTAGAGCTATTCCCCTCGTGGAGGTGGATTACCAGGAGCGCTGGGAGAGCCCTCTCCCAGCGCTCGCACGTGACCACGCTCACACATCAAAGCGCTGCCGCAAGAGCGCTCCCACGGCACTGCTTTGAAGTTTCTAGTGTAGACGTAGGCTATGGCTACACTTGCAGATGTAGCGCGCTGGGAGTTAAACCAGCCCTCGGAGACAGCAGCAGGGAAAGCGCTGCCATGTGTTCACCACATTTGCAAGGCCACAGAAAGCAGTGCATTGTGGTAGCTATCCCAGCGTGCAAGTGGCTGCAGTGTGCAGCAAGAGGCTGCAGCATGCTTTTCATAGGGGGGCTGTGGAGTGTGACAGGGAGTGTGTTTGTGCGTATGTGTGGGGAGAAACAGTGTGTTTTGGGGGGCAGAGAGTGTGTCAGCATGCTGTCTTGTAAGTTCAGACAGCAGCAGGGGGAAACCCTGACATCAGCCCCCACCACCCGACTCTCTCTCTCTCTCTCTCTCACACACACACACACCTGCCTCTGCAGCAGGAGCATTCCACACTAATGATTTGCTTTGTGTCCCAGAGCAGATAAGCATGCCAGCTGTCAGAAACAGAGCTTTGAAAGGGGATATCTACATGCCTGGACCCGAGTTCAAAACAATGATGAGTGGCCACTTGACTTCAAGGGATTATGGGATGTTTCCAGAGGCCAATCACAGCGCAGTAATGCAACACGTTACCCACACTGTTAGGCCTTTTGAGGCTAGCCATCACCATTCCTTGACTTGTTTTGTTGTGCATCTCCTCTTCGGGATTCTTGCATGAATGGAAGGCAATTGATCTGTCCCATGCTATAAACTGGGGGAATGTTCTTATTATGATCAGTGCATCTTCTATGTCATTCTCAAGGGCTTAGTTGCCATTTATGGCAGTCAGACTAGCAGAGTTTCAGACCCCATCTTTGGGAAGAGGGTTGATTCAGGCAGTTACATACAGCAGAAACAGGTTTTATGTGGCCACTTCTGAAGGGGAAGAATTCCTTCCAAATAACGAATGTGATAGCATCTGTGGTTTCAGAGTAGCAGCCGTGTTAGTCTGTATCCGCAAAAAGAAAAGGAGGACTTGTGGCACCTTAGAGACTAACAAATGAGGCTTGTTGAGCTCCCAGCTGACTAGATCCCTTAGATAACTTGCCACAATCAATTCAGGGATATTGTTAGCTTGTTTTATTGAGTATTATGTAAGTCACTTTGGTATATTTTCAAAATAGAAATTAACCTGTACAGGCACCACTTACTAGTATCCACTTCAGTCACAAGGATGGGCTTGGAGAACTGGATTCGGAATCCCCAGGGGTAATCACCAGTTCCTTTTGTGATCCTCACTGTTCGTTCACGAACTGTAAAGTAAGGAAAAGGATTGACCTCAAAGACTCTCTTTATCTTTGCAAATCAAACTCAATTGAACAAATAGACACACACTTTTAAAGCTTGCCATCTAAGTTGCATCTGCAAAATATGGGCTGAATTCTTGAACAAGTATAACTCCATCTCTTCCCAGGGCTATCATTCTTTTTTCATGCTGAAAACCTATTTATCTTCCGGAGATGTGTCCCTTCTTCCTCTTCATGGCCATCTTTTTTCATCCCTTCTCTTCCATAACCCCCAGCCTGACTCTCCACGACCTTGATCCTACGTTGGGAGCTGCCTGCGCAGACCCCTAAGCCCATATGGACTGTCTTTAAAGTCAGTGGAATTCAGCATTGATACAGGGATCAGCCTCAATGTGAGATCAGGATCTAAGCTTCTATTCAAATCCAAACCTGTCTCCCCAATAGTAATTGAAAAGGGATAGAGTTAAGTGGAACTTACACACCTCAGAAAGTCTGATTCATTAGGAAATGTTATACTGATGAGTGAGTTAAAAATATCCCAGAATGCACTCCTCAGAACTTCAGCTTTTCGCAGTTTGATTCTTCACCAGGTATTTGTTTAATGGGAACCCAAATTACATTATTTATCATAGCTGTGTTGTCTCTAAATTGTGTAACATTTGGAAGACAGAAAATGCTTCAAAGGTTACATTCAGGCAAATTGACTCTCTCTCTGTGTCTAAAAGAGGGTAGACACTGAAATAAATATTTTAAGTGGTGTGCTGTGGGAGAAAAGGCAATCAAAATGCACAACATGCTCCTCATACATTTTAAAAGAGATTTTTACAGAGCTCGAGATTTATAGAGCACATTTCATTTGCTACAGTCTTGGGAATAATCTATGAGCTCCAACATGGGACCAACTCCTGGAAAGCTACAAAGGTTTTGCACCTTCTTAGTTGTTTCAAGAAATTTAACACTGAAAAAATGGGTTCTTGATATTATGTTTGCATGACTCGGGTTACACATTGAAAACTGAGCAATGAGAACATTTTCATGCTCCCAGAAAACTGGCACTTTTCCCATTCATTCTACTTGGGTGAGAAAGTGTTCACATCATTTGGCTGTAGTGGAAAGCAGATACTGTGGCTGTTATGTGCCTTTTTCTGATTGTGAATAGTCCCTCCTGAGGTTGCCATACCTGCAAATGTTTTGAAATTAACCTTGCAACTCAACTTACAGACTTTGCCCATGCCAGTATCCCCACTGTTCAGCAAATGACTGGATTTTAGTTCTGACCTCTTACAAATAAGAATTTTGTCAAGAAATTATAACATTCTATCAGAAGTTAGTTAAATAAAGAACTACTTTTTAAACATTTATGCCTTTTTGAACTTATTGGATTCCTCCACTTTCTGCCCTCAGCATCAGTGTTTGGGGCCCTGCCCATAGCTGGAGTTCTCCCAGCATGACCATACATCCACAGAATACCTAGACACACTGTGAGGACACTTTGTACTTGTACGACTAGAATGCTTACCTGCTACTGGCCTAGGCCTTTTGCTGAGACATCTAGGGCTATTATCTGGACTGCTGTCATCCCCTCTGAAAACCCACGAAGCTGAATGAAAGTTCTCTGTGTAGAAACCTCTCTCCTCATTTTCACTACGGAGACTCAGATCCACTGAACGGGCTTCCTCTGAGTTTACTAGGAAGATACAAATGAGAATAATTTAGTTTCACTGCCAAAATAAAAAAATGCCATATGTGTAAAAGGAGTGACAGCAAAGGATGGAGAGTAATTGACATACTTTATTATGAGAGAATGAGGCTGAAAAAGGGAAAATGATTTTAAAAAATATGGTTGTGTTCTTTTTTGATTCTTTGTTTATGTATAAAGACAATCTGAAAGGGTTTAAATTTTTCTTGTGTCAGGCAGGATGGGATTAGTTCATAGAAAAGAAAGTAAGGGACAGGGGACATTGAGGTGTGGGGGGGGAATATATGAGAAAGTGGGTGAAGCTGACTATGAGTGGAAGGGTGGGGGAGAGGACAGCAAAGGAGAAAGAATGTCCAAATGTACTATAGCAGGGGTCGGCAACCTTCAGCATGCGGCCCATCAGGATAATCTGCTGGCGGGCCGCGAGACATTTTGTTTATGTTGATTGTCTGCAGGCACAGCCGCCAACAGCTCTCAGTGGCTGTGGTTTACTGTTCCCGGCCAATGGGAGCTGCGGGAAGCAGAAGCCAGCACATCTCTGCGGCCTGCTGCTTCCCGCAGCTCCCATTGGCCAGGAACAGTGAACCACTGCCTCTAGGAGCTGCAAGGGGGCCGTGCCTGCAGATGGTCAATGTAAACAAAATGTCTCACGGCCCACCAGCAGTACCCTGATGGGCCGCGTACCGAAGGTTGCTGACCCTTATACTACAGTATTCCATATAGTTCCTAATAAAATGTTCATAACTTCTTTAAATAGTTCTGTAACTTTGCTGCTGCTCAAAATGCATGCTCTAAAAGCCAAAAGATACAAGATAACACTACCTGAATGCAAAGGTGTAATGCAGTCTAACTCTTCTTCTAAAAGTGGAAATATTTCTTAAACATGAACATGTCTTTCCTCCCCATTCTTGGCCAAGTTCAGTCTGGTGTAAATGGGCCCAACTCTATTGGCTTGTTTCAGTTTTCACCAAAAGGTTGGCAGTGATTGGACGTCTAACATAGTGAATGCCAGTGAAAATGAGGTAGGATCAGAGGCTAAAATAGGGAAAGAACAAGTAAAAATGTTTTTTTTAGACAAGTTAGATGATTGAAGTCACCAGGGCCTGACGAAATGCATCCTAGAATACCAAGGAGATGACTGAGGAGATATCTGAGCCATTAGCGATTATCTTTGAAAAGTCATGGAAAACAGGAGAGATTCCAGAAGACTGGAAAAGGACAAATATGGTGCCAATCTATAAAAAGGGAAATAAGGACAACCTGGGGAATTACAGACCAGTCAGCTTAACTTCTGTGCCCGGAAAGATAATGGAGCAAATAATTAAGCAATCAACTTGCAAACGTCTAGAAGATAGTAACGTTATAAGTAACAGTCAGCATGGATTTGTCAAGAACAAATCTTGTCAAGCCAACCTGATATCTTTCTTTGACACGGTAACAGGCCTTGTGGATGGGGGGAAGCAGTAGACGTGGTATATCTTGACTTTAGTAAATCTTTTGATACTGTCTTGCATGACCTTCTCATAAACAAACTAGGGAAATGCAACCTAGATGGAGCTACTATAAGGTGGGTGCATAACTGGTTGGAAAACTGTTCCCAGAGGGTAGTTATCAGTGGTTCACAGTCATGCTAGAAGGGCATAATGAGTGGGGTCCCGCAGGGATCAGTTCTTTGTCTGGTTCTGTTCAATATCTTCATCAATGATATAGATAACGGCATAGAGAGTACACTTATAAAGTTTGAGGACGATACCAAGCTCGGAGGGGTTGCAAGTACTTTGGAAGATAGGCTTATAATTCAAAATTATCTGGACAAACTGAAGAAATGGTCTGAAAGTGAAGTAAATAGGATGAAATTCAATAAGGATAAATGCAAAGTACTCCACTTAGGAAGGAACGATCAGTTGCATACATACAAAATAGGAAATGACTGCCTAGGAAGGAGTACTGTGGAAAGAGATCTGGGGGTCATAGTGTACCACAAGCTAAATATGAGTCAACAGTGTAACACTGTTGCAAAAAGAAGCGAACATCATTCTGGGATGTTTAGCAGGGCTGTTGTAAGCAAGACACGAGGAATAATTCTTCATTCCTACTCCACGCTGATTAGGCCTCAACTGAAGTATTGTGTTCAGTTCTGGGCGCCACATTTCAGGAAAGTTGTGGACAAATTGGAGAAAGTCCAGAGAAGAGCAACAAAAATGATTAAAGGTCTAGAGAACATGACCTGTAAGAGAAGATTGAAGAAATGGGGTTTGTTTAGTCTGGAAAAGAGAAGATTGAGAGGGGACATGGTAACAGTTTTCAAGTACATAAAAGGTTGTTACAAGGAGGAGGGGGAAAATTGTCCTTCTTAACCTCTGAGGATAGGACAAGAAGCAGTAGGCTTAAATTGCAGCAAGGCAGGTTTTGGCTGGAGATTAGGAAAAACTTCCTGTCAGGGGTTAAGCACTGGAATAAATTGCCTAGGGAGGATGTAGAATCTCCATCATTGGAGATTTTTCAGAGCAGGTTAGACGAACACCTGTCAGGGATGGTCTATATTATACTTAGTCCTGCCATGAGTGCGGGGGACAGGACTAGATGACCTCTTGTGGTCCGTTCCAGTTCTATGATTCTAGGATTCATTGCAATTGTGCTGGTTTACGGAACAGGTCTGAATTTGGCCTATTAAGTGTACATCTTTCTCTTCAATCTTATTAGTTAGCAAACTGAGTACAGTTTCCAGAAATTTGGAGTTATGATTCAGTACTGGAGGTGCTTGGAATCTGCCATACTGTAGAAACTGAAAAACAGCAGGAGTGCGTGGGAAGGAAAAATCAGGAGCTAAAATAAATGTCATCACTCAAACAATGATTGAAAGGTTTGACTGCCTGTTATATTTTTAGTGCTGTTGTAGCCATGTTGGTCCCAGAATATTAGTGAAACAAGGTGGGTGATGTAATATATTTTATTGAACCAACTTCTGATGGTGAGAGAGACAAGCTTTTTCCCTTACACAAACCTCTTCTTCAGGTCTGGAAAATGAGTGCACCCTGAGTACATTTCCCATACCTGAACAAGAGAGGTCAGGAAATGCACTCAGGGTGTACTCATTTTCCAGACCTGAAGAAGAAGTTTGTGTAAGGGAAAAAGCTTGTCTCTCTCACCATCAGAAGTTGGACCAGAAAAAGATATTTTAAAAAGATATCACCCACCTTGTCTCGCTGTTATAATCTGGCTCTTTTACACAGATAAATTATATTTACTTGAAAAGTCCCACACATATAGGTTTATAATCTGCATATTTACTGACTGTTACACTTAAGTCCAAATTTGAATTTTTGAATTGGACTCAGTGTTACATTTGTACTCATGCAGGTTTCATAAAAGTATAATTAAAGACTCACACACATTGTATATCCCACTCCAAATCAATACATTTCTATGATGACTTCTGCTGATTTTTCTTTATTAAAAACACAGATTTATAAATACATATTGTAAGTGATGTATTAGAGTATGCAGTATTTTTTATGTGACTATCTTCTTGTGTCAGATTTTTGTTGCCCTCTCTTAAGTAATACATAACATTACTTTGATTGTGGAATGCCAAAAGTAACAATACACATTGACTCACAAGCACACACCCACTTACCTTTGTGTTCTCCTCTTGACCACTGAGTGCCCATGTGTAATCAGTACATTATTTCTGTGAAAATCCTGAGATTCTGAGCCTTTAAAGCATAGTGATAATTGTTTATGTTCCACTGGATAATGTGTTAAAATAGGGAGTTTCTTAGGAACAGATCTGATTATGTGGATGAGTAATTCACTGTTCATTCAGTTACAAAGACAGCACTAATCAGCATATTGTTACATAAACTGCAACATAAAATCTGTGTTGACATCTTATGAACCAGCAAGACATTATTTATATACATGGCATAGCTGCATAAACAGGACTGTGCTTAACTTCTTCTTCTTCCGCAGTAGAATTATTGAATGAACAATGAACAATGTTAAAATAATAAACTATCCCTTTAAATTCTCAGGGGGTTTCCTAGTCCTGCTTGCAAGCTAGGGGACTCTGTAGGGAAGTGTATGAGCCAGGGCTTTAGCAGTCAGTTTGCAAAGAGCCAGCCTAGAGCAAGGTGGGGTGAACTGTGCCTCTCTGCTTTACAGAATAGATTTGAGTATTGTGTGTTAGGGATCAGGATTCAAAAACGAATTCAGTACTTGTGAAAGATGCCAGAAGGGGACAGCTCTGAAAACTGTAGTTTTTGTCCTGTAATTTCCCACAAAACAGGGAGAATGTGGGCAGCAGAGAGCAATCTTTACCAAATTGCTACATCAAAATGGAGGAATCTTGAGTAGGGAAGTTATATTACCTGTGCATCTGGCTTGAGAATACTATGTCCAGTACTTATGTCCACAATTCCAGAAGGATGTTGAAAAATTGTAGAGGGTTCAGAGAAGAGCCACAAGAATGATTAAAGGATTTGAAAACATATCTTATCGTGAAGGAACTAAGGAGCTCAATCTGTTTAGTTCAACAAAAAGAAGGTTGAGGGGTGACTTGATCAAATCCTAGAAGTACCTACAAGGGGATCAGAAATTTGATAATAGAGGACTCTTCAATGTCTGGAAGTTGAGGCTAGACAAATTAACCCTAGAAATAAGGTGCAATTTTTAACAGTGATGTTGATTAAGCATTGGAACAATTTATCAAGGATTGGGATGGATTATGCATCACAGGAAATTTTAAAATCAATATTGGATGTTTTTCTAAAAGCCATGCTCTAGTTTACCACAACTATTGGACTTGAAGCAGGCATTAATTCAGGGGAGTCTGATGGCCTGTGTTATATAGGAGGTTAGACTAAACAATCCCAATGGTCCCTTCTAGCCTTATAGTCTATACATCTGTGAAAATGCTAGCTATGACCTGGGTAGGGTATCCCCACAGGATGGAAGGATAATCTGCATGCTAATTCTATCTTTGGCTTCTCTGCTGACCATGCCAAGAAGTTTCCAATTAGTGCAAACTGTGATAGTGATTTTTGTAAAGTGGACATCTCTCTACTAGGTAATGAGATCATTAACTCAGATCTCAGAGACAACCACTCAGCCATCAGATGAGATAGTAGAAATTTTGTACAAACTGACTATCCCCCAAATGTTCAATTGTCTATGGACTTCATTGGGAGGTTTTCACATAGGAGAGTCATGTGCAGAACACTCAACCTTTACTCTTTCAAATACCAGGCAGTTTGTCCACTGAACCCTTTTAACAAGTGGCAATATCCCATATCTTCACTAATATCACTGACATGCTAATATCCAATGCTTCTGTATGGAGAATTGTTTCATATTTCTTCAGTAAGATAACAAAGTGTCCCAAAACTATTTACATTCTAACTAACAGTATACAATGTTGGGCTGTATATTTAAAGATGTTATTATGGAATAGTCCCATCCAACAGAAAACAGCTGAAGTAATTCAGGCAGATTTAAAGGATAAGGGCAGGCTTTGCCCTGTTTAGCATGTATTTGGGTGCAGAGTCACATGCACCTGTCATTTCAGAATTGAAAATACAAAAATTAGATTTTTCTTCCTCAGTTTGCATTCAGCAAGTTATTTACCAGATGTATGTTACTCAGCATTTTCTTTAGCTCTGACAGATTATCTGTGTTTACAGATGTAAAAGCATCATATCTACCGTCTTGTTATACAGGAAATTTGAGATGAGTAAGGCTAGCAGTTTGAAGAGCACCAAATGTAACTCTGCACTGTAAAGTTGTCATTTTAAAGCACATATTAGGTTGATAGCATTTCCTGAGTCTAAAAATGAAGGATAACTTAGGCCACATACTAAACAACTGCCCTACCTGCTGGACTGGATATTTTAAGTGTTATGACCTTTGGCAATAGTTCATATTTCATCATTAAGACTGTAGTAGCATTCAAAGTGCATTAGAAACTTCCCAAACACAAGGCCATATTCTGTGTTCCATTCCTGCCCCCCTCACATTACCCTGATGGTGGTAAATGGGCTATGTAGCTGAGGGGCCCAGCCCTGGGAGAATACACAAAGAAATTCCACAAGTGGTGCAGAGCTGCAGAAATGGCTCTACACCCCTCTCCATCACAGCACTTAGCACAGGGGACATACCAAGACTGGGTTAAGGAAGGAGGAGGCTGATCCAAGAGCATGCTGCACTTTGGCTCTTAGCTACTGGAACAGCCACGGGGGTACACCCCAGACAAGTACAAGTTAGAATTGTTCTGAGTGAGTGCATACACCAGAGAATAGGCTAAGAATACCGCGAAGTGCAATGATAGCTTAATGACGCATTTCCCTCACCAAATCATTTCCCTCACCTGAGCCAAGTAGAGCTTGGGATTAATAGACTCTAGTCCACAACAGACAGTCTAAAAATATGGAATACTATAATTCTTAATTAAGTGGGTCAGAGTCACTCATGGGTTCCACAGGCAACAGCCAGGGAGAACCAGGTTCAGGACACCTGATGGCAAAAAATTAGCCTGGAGGGAAGCATCAGTAAGTGAAAGGCCCCCTGATACCCCAGCTCCAGCAAGTTGCAGTTTTGGATTTTTGTTCCTCTTGAAATTGGAGTGTATTTGATCAATGGAACATTACAGTATACACATGATCAATTCCTACTGAAATCAATGAAAGTTCTGCAGGCAAATTTTGCCCTGCTATGTCTGCTTGTAGAATGTTGTGGTTCTTCTAACTCAGGAGATTTGTAATAGCTGCTTTCCATGTCTTTAAAGCTGGTTTGGATCTAGCCTAGGTTGGTAACAGCTTGCAGTTGCTACTATCTGTTAGGATATAGATATTCAGGCCTGTCTGTAAAGGCCTATAACTCTAAGAATTTAGGTGTATTCTTATCCCTTAGCTAGTTCTAGAGGTATAAAAGAAAGAATCAAAATCACCATCTGCCAGTGTAAGGTCCTTCTCTTACTGTGACAGCCTGAGGCCCCGTTCTTAGGCTAAGGCCTTTGGCTAAGCAACAGAGGCAGCCATAAGCTGGGAAGCGACCGGTCACATCCTCGCATTCTAAACTAGTCACACTGAAATAAGGTGCTATTGGGCTGTTAGGAATACAATCCTGTCCTGATAATGCCTAACGCCTCCAGAGAAAGGGAAGTGCCTAGAAGATGTAAAAGGAAACTTAGTTTGATAGCATCCTGTCTGGCAAGAACTCACTTATCAATAACTGGGATGTGAAATCCTCATTTCTGTGTTTGTTCTATCACTGTAGTTCCCATTTCCCCATTGTTTGTCTGTATAATCTCTGTCTGGTTCTGTGATTGTTTCTGTCTGCTGTATAATTAATTTTGCTGGGTGTAAACTAATTAAGGTGGTGGGATATAATTGGTTAAATGATCATGTTACAATATATTAGGATTGGTTAGTTAAATTTCAGTAAAACGATTGGTTAAGGTATAGCAAAGCAGAACTGAAGTTTTACTATATAGTCTGCAATCAATCAGGAAGTGTGTTTGTGTGGGAAATGGGAACAGGGAATGGGGGTGGGGAAATTGGAATCATGTTTGGCTAAGGGCAGAAATGGGAACAGGGACATAGGTGTAAGGCTCTGTGGTGTCAGAGCTGGGAAGGGGGACACTGAGGAAGGAAACTGGAATCATGCTTGCTGGAAGTTCACCCCAATAAACATTGAATTGTTTGCACCTTTGGACTTTGGGTATTGTTGCTCTCTGTTCATGCGAGAAGGACCAGGGAAGTAAGTGGGTGAAGGAATAAGCCCCCTAACACTATCTAACAGCTTTTAGTGGTCTATGTAAAATGAGTTAGTCACCTCAGTCCAGTTCTTAGTAGATCTCTAAGACTCACTGACTTTTCACATCCAGCAATTATCCCTCCAGTACAGGATTTCTAGATACAACATAAACAGTGGCAGAGTGAATTGTAATCATTCTTTGAATAAACTGAAGACATCAGTCCAAGGGCTATCAATCTTTTATGAGTACTTCAGTAAGTTCATTTTAGTAAGCAAGCAACCAAAACAGCCTCAATGACAAGTATTTTTGCTGGAAGTGGAGCAGTATGTTCTGTATGTGGATACAATTTTCAGTTATTTAAAAGGATAAAAAGTTCATTTACCTGTTAAGATAGTTTGTTTAAATTAGCTAATATGACAAACAGAGGCAAAGCCAGTGTTGTGTGAGAAGTACAACATATGTTGTTTCCTAGTTGGGGAATCCATCTGCAAGAAGCATAAATTCATTAAACAGCTCAACTTGAAAATTCTGCCCAAAGAAAATTCTGAGACAAAGAGCCAGTGAGTTTGATATACTCTGAAACATGTGAAAAGGTGACAGATTTCTTAATGAGACAGTGTGATGGGAGACTGTCTTCTTAGACCGTGTCTCCTAATGGTCAGAGCACTGGCTAGTCATACCACTTTGTGGGTTCAAGTCCAGGATTGGCGGTAGGAGAACCCAGGCCTTCCTGTTCCTCCAGGTTCCTTCCCAGGGCCCTGTGGCACGCAGTTCAGGTGTGCGACCTGGACCAGGGTATCACCCAGCCTAATCTCTGGGTTACAGCCCACAACTTGTCCTCTGAGGAGGGGGTCAGGAGGTTCCCTTCCCCACTCATCAGCAGATACTCTGCTGTCTCTTTTGCCATGCTTGTGGTTCTGAGTTGAGGTCTGCTTCTGGAGGTGTGGGTCTCCCAGTGGATTCCTGCAGGAGCTTCCAATGCAGGTCTGCTCCCTTGGACTGACTGCCCTGTGCTGCGCCCTTTTAAGCTCCACCTTCATTGAAAGCATGCCCTGGATGCACGGGTGGGCTGAGTCTCCCGTGACCAGAACAACAGTGTAGGGTTGGTACACCCCACAGTTACAGATATAGCTGTTCCAATAGCAGAGGGACAGTGAAGGGCAATCCAGGGAGCAGGTTTTAGGAAAAAGGGCTTGATGAATGAATATAAGGAATATAGTGATGGGAAGAGGACACAGAGGACAGCAAGAATTCTACATTATACATTTATGACCAGACTCTGCCACCATGCCCCTTGCTGAGTAGTGTCTTATTCCCTGACAAGCTCCATTGACTTTTCAATAAGAGTACTTACAGTTCAACTTAATGTGAGAAAGGGTGGGAAAATCTGGCCCTTAAATAGGTTCTTTGTTCCTCTGTCATTCCTCTGAATGACAGAGGAACCTAGCTTATACGAGTGGGAAGAAGGAAACATAGCTCAGTTGAATCAGATATAATCACAGGAAGTTTGGGAAGGCATACTTGTATCTATGAATATGATTTAGGTTTGTAACCTCTGTCATAATCCTGGAGAAAACAGAACTAGAGAAAAGCCTCAGGATCAGGAATTTATTTCTGGTTTACAGTGTGTACCCAATTAAGGACTAGATAGACATCCAAAATGAATGAAAAATTCAATTTAGAGGACAGTGTCAATACACTCAGCAGTGTATTCTTCAGCAGTGAACAACAGAATCTCTCATGGGATATGTGGGCTGTGCAACCTGAAGATGAAATCTCCTTGGCTGATAGTTCTGATGGCATTGTCAGTCACATAAGAGAAGAGGTACAATTGCAAGACCATTATGTACTCACTTGATATCTCAGTGATAGTGCTGTTTATGGAGCTCCCTCCAGTTGAACTGCACTTTTTACTGTCTTTGAATTGCTTCCGCTGCCTTGCCCATCGGTCTAGGGCTTCTTCCTGGGAGCTATCACTGGCTCTTGTATCTTTTAACACTGGTTCACCGGGTAGCTTTATGGTCTTATTCACTTCTGACTTCAAATCTAAATTAAGATCAGATTTTATCAGAGAGCTAGATATGTGAGATATAACAATTCTTTCACAAAATGTTCTGTCAATTATACCTTTTTAAAATTGAGCTTTTCCTCATTATAAATGATGAAATAATGTGTATAACAATAGTCTGTCTGCAAATATATGAGGGACAGAAAATCAAAATAGCAAATAGCATTTTAAATAGTAATGGGCCACATTTAAAAAAGATATCCAAGGCTTACATGAAAAAATGTGGGTGTGTGTAATTGCCATGCTTGTACACATAAAGCAGATTGTGCATGCAGATAGCTAGTTAAGCACCTACATAGCCATCTGCCTGCATAATCCCTCAATTTGCAAACACAAGCATGTTTTTTGCATGTGCAAAGGAATCTGTGCATTTATGTGTATGTGTAAAGCATGAGTCTCAGGTGCCCTTATTTAAAAATGTGGCCTCAAAAATATAACAAGGAGAAAAGGCAGTTAAGAAGATAGTACAAAACTCAAAGTAGAATACTTCCATATTAATTTATTTCTAAGCAAATTATAAATGTAGTAGTACTACTTTATTGCTATTTCAGACATTAAAAACAAATCTAGAAAAAAAGACCCTGGGTAAATTCATTTCCATAAGTGCAAGGGGTGCTAGCTGCATCTATTTACACCTGGGAGGACAAAGATGTCTAAGCAGAGAGGGCAGGAAGGATGACAGGAGAGAGTAGCTCTAGGGAGACCTAATCTATCTGGAACTCCATTGGGGATGAGCTGAATGAGTGCCTCTTCCAAGCACCATTGTCCCAACAGCCTCTTTACATGGTTGTCAATCCCTGGATGATCAAGGTTTATGCCACTGTGCCTCTATTCCAGACAGACAGACCTTCTGCTGAGTGGCAGGAAACTAAATTCTACGAGGGTAGCTTGTTTGGTGGCAAATGATGGAAATATTTTTGATATAATTTAATGTTTGAAAAAAAACTTTCCCCCCATATATTTTATATCCTTAAAATGATAATTTAGTTTCAATAAAGTTTTGAAAACAATATTCAAATTAAGGAAGCTTTTTTCTGGGTGGCATACTTTAAAGATAACATGTTATCTGGAACGCTGACGCTCAATATATTTATTAGAGCTATCATTTCATTTCAACATTTTAAATTGAAATGGGATGATTTGACATTCCTGAACTGAACGGGTTTGGTTTCATTTGTTGAACCAAATCAAAATGTTTAGTGTCGGATCGGTTCAATATTAAACTACATCTGCCTGAGCCATCATGGTATGTCATGTCAGCTGTACTTCATGTGCTTCACGTCCCCATTCTCTTCTGTGGGTTGGTCTCCCTAGCCAGTCTATAGGTTCCATGATGAATTGAAATCACTGATATCCCCTGATGCATTATTGCAGCTCAGTCAGAGGGAAGACTACATTGCATCATATGATCTCCAACCAGACATCCCACCCCAGAAGGAGAATAGGGGCATGAGGTACCATGGCAATTGAGGCAGGCAGACAAAGATTAACATTGAATTCACCCAAAATGAAATGTGTTGATATGGTTTCACAAAACAAAATATTTCTATTTGAATCAATCTGATTTGAAACTAAATATTCTCTTTCAATTTTTCCAACAGAATTTTTTTTTGGAGGGGAAGGGCGAGAGGCACAAAATGTCATTTTCCTACAGAAAATTTTGATTTTGCAAAAACCATAATTTCCACTGAAAAAAAAATTTGATGGAAAATTCACAAGCAGCTTTAATATTTATGTTATAAAAACTGATACATCTTGGTTTTCATGTAGAGTATTGGATGCTGAATGATTAAATATTAATATTAAAGAAACATAAACAAGGATATTTCCCCATAACCGGACCTTGTTGTACCTAGCCATTGTTGCACATGCTACTCTTCATTAGTGCTTATTACAACACTGGATGGTGGTATCTTTTCTATGTCATGGTGGTACAACAACACTAGATTAAGGTGGTGGTGGGTTGTTTCCTTTCTTTTTTTAAACTTTGGAAGGCCACCATGGGCTTAAGAACAAATATAGTAATTCACTTATTCAAAGTTTTTCCAGGAAACATGGGAACTGCTGCTTTGTTTCAATGGTGATCTATAACTAAATCCTGCTGCTACCAGGAAAAGTAAATAAAACTAGAGGAAACATATTACTGGAATTTTATTTGGCCTGGACTTTTTTTTTTTTCCTTCTCCTTCTTTTCTCCCCTTTTTTTTTCATTGAAACTGCTATATATGTCCCTTTCAAGTACAGTCCATTGTTGGGTGTGGTAAGCCACACACAGCCTCTCTATCTGCAGACTGTTCAATGAAATGGCTGCACTTGACCAGTTGCCTGACGGAGCAGGATGTTGCCATATCCTAAAATGATTAAAAGCCTGCTTCTGTGACCCTTATTTACGCTATATAGTATCTTATTCAACAGCAAAATCAATGGATACCATTCCTCACAAATGTATGTGGTAGAATCAGGATCTTAAGAATTATTTTGGATTCAAAGAAAGAAAAGATCATGCTTTTCAGGCCATTGGAAAGGACTTCTAAAGACTGAATGCGTGGCCCAGAGGCGCACTTGTCTATGTGTTTCTGGTGCATTATTTCAAACAAATTCTGGAGAGGGCAAAGTTGTGTCAGAATATAGAACATTACATTGTATCCTGCAAAGTTGGGAGACTGGGTAGGAGGGTAGTGGAAGACATACTGAAACATACATGCCTATGAAAAGTCAACGGAGGGGCAACTGCCCTCTTCCCCATAGCAACTGATACTCATGATATGTTTACACAATACAAATGCAGTGTAATTCACTATCAAAAATCTTTGTTAAAAAAATTGTGGTTGAATGTATGTTTCACTGGAGTCCCCCTCCCCTCGTTATACTTGCTTTACAAAAATCTAAACCTTAAAAATACCTCCCTAAATGTTAATAATGTCTGGAAATGAATGGTTAAGGGATCCAGTCAGTTGCCTCTTCTCATATAATACTTCACTACTATCAATTCCCTGATTTACCCTTCCCACCCAACCATTGCTTTGGTCCCCTCCCCTGTTTTGGTCTGTAATGGAACATTAATTTTATATAGGGCACTATTTTCAACAGTGCATTGCACCGGCCTAACTCCGCTCCCATTGAAGTTAATGGTAAAACTGTCGTTGGCTTTCCTCTGGTCCTATTAACATCAATGAGAGTTTTACCATTAACTTCAATAGGCGCAGAGTTAGGCCAATGCTGAGCATTTTGAAAATCTCATTTCAAGTATGTAAAGTTATATATCTAAATATTTTAAGAAAGATTTAAGGAGGGATCATGGTTACTACATTGGGAGATATAAAATTAAACAAAAAAAAATGTCAGCTGAATTTCCGAAGGATGATCTATATATAGTTGGTAACAACTCAGAACTGTTAAGGAAAGGGACTAGATAACTCAGTCTTTTACATTGCTATGATACAATTTTTTTAAATTGTTACCCAGGTATTCTTATGGGATGTATGGATGGTAGAAAGGAAGGGATGTATGGATGGTAGAAAGGAAGATAAATAGGAAATTTCAGAACGGATGCAGCATCTTACTTAAAAAAAAATACCTCTCTGTACTCCATTTTCTCAGATAGGTAGAGAGAGGCAGAAGGAAAGTCAAATGATTTGATTAAGGTCATCTAATGTGCTGAAGGCTCAGCCAAGATTAGAACCAGGATGTGCCTGGCTTTCAGTCTTTTGCTGAGGTCACTAGACCACATGCATCCTTAACCATACTTACATGGTTTCTAAATATAGTACAGAGCTCTGAGGACATGTCTCATGACACCTATATTAATCCTGATCTGGTATTTGCTTTACTCACTAGGAGGATACTTGGTAGTGCTTTGTTAGAATATGTCAAACTCTGTGTAGCAAAGCTGTTTTAAAGTATTCTTTTGTTAATAAACTACTGGCCTGCCTGATTCTACAGAGAAGGGAGTGATGAGCAGAGTACAATCAAATAGCTAAACATATCACCAGGGAGATGACAGAATGGGATTAGGAAGCAGTATGACCCTTGTATATTAATATTCACCTGTTTTTTCCAAGCTATAAATTGCCAAAGCACGAAGGGCTAAGCCACTCCCCAAATGTGCAGCATATGCAAAAGGATTAATCATGCAGAGAATTCTGGAATGCCTACCTTTTTGACTAATCTGCTTTCTTGGTGACATTGGTGTGTCTGTGTTTTGGCAACAATCCTTTGTCTCACATTTTTTCTCAGTTTCTTCAGAGCTGGATTTAACTAACTGCTCTATCTGACATGCTACAGGCTCTGTTCTTAAATGATCAGATATTTGGCTTGTTATCTCTTGTTCACTGCAAAGGTTCTCTTTTGTTTCTTTGGTAAATGTACCCTCAATGCAAACTTGCTTATCTTCAGGAGGCATTGAGGAGCTGGACACTGAAGTAATATGTGTGGAATCATCATGGAAATTGGCTTCATCAGGAATATTCCTAGATGTGTCCTGGACCTCAGAAAAGCTCTGTAATTCATTATCTCTATCTGACTCCTCAGCATCCAACAAAAGGGACATAAATGATTTTTCTCGTATGCTGCAGGGTAGCTTAGGCTCATTTTTTATCCCAGAGCCAAAAGAATCAGCTATCCCCTTCTTGTCGCCTTGAATGATGAGCCTTTGCTCTCGCTCTCCAGTTTTTACAGTCATCACTGATCCTTTCCGTTTTTTTATCGTTACCTCAGGATCTGGGGTAGCTGGATGAACACACTTACTTGGTTGTAATGCTGAATGTTGGCTTTGGATGCAGTCTATGGCTACTGTGTTAGCTATGCTTTTGTCACTAACATGGCCATTTGAAGGGCTTCTGGAAGGGGAAGGGACTTGAAATATCAGGGCTTTATTCTGTACTTCAGCATGGCCTTGTACATCAAAGTGATGATCACTCTCTAGTGTCTCCTCATCAAAACCACTTTCTGTAAACTCAATGTGTTCATCACATACAGCAAGGTTCTGGAGAGGCTCTGAGTATTTATGCTCCAGTTTCTGTTCTACATTTGAATTGACGCCGGAATGAGATGTTTCCACTAATGTCGCTTCCATTTCTTTACAGTGCCCCATATAGTCTTCATAGTGAGTGAAGAAGAAAGCATCATCTATACTTCCTTCCGGCTCAGAATGGTAAATGGTCATGTCATGATTGTAGGAGGTGAAGGCATACTGATAAGACTTGAGAGCTCTCGGACTGCTGACTGATGTGAAGCTGAAACACTTACAAAGTTCTGTACAGCTGGTATGAGTCTGAGTATTCTTGCTGTAAAGATCTACTGCTTTGGCCTGCTTGGGCAGTACTTTTAAGGATAAAGATGGCAATGAATAAAAGCCAGAATCCCTTCTGTGGTGAACTGGTGACAATACATCAATGGTGACATCTGGAAAAGACTTTCTTCTAACTGCTTTTGGCTCTGGGTGTGAAGCTAATATAGTGTTCCTTATGTCAATGAGACTGTTTCTTATTTGTCCTGCTTCATTGGCCTCATCAATAGGTTCTTTACCAAAGATTTTTTCACTTGAACCATTAGTATCTAAAGGACAACCCCCATTATAACTAAATTCTGAGAAAATTATCTTTCTTATATTATTGTCTTTACAGAAATCTTCCTTTTCACTGGCAAAGTCTTCAGTCCCAGGTTCTTTCTGTTTACAGATATGATTTCCTTCCTCCCAAGCTGGTAAGACTGCAGGTAAGGTGTCAGGTTCTTTTTGATCACTGATTGGGAGTAAGGATGCAACCTCTGTAGTGGTATCTAAACATATTTCTTTGCTGTCAGCAAACTCTTCAGGTGGAGGAAGAAGTAGATACCAGTCTGGACACGTATAGTTTGTAAAAGACTCTTCCTTTTCATGAAGGCTAAAATCTGATTCGTAATCAGTGCTGCAAGATACCTCTGTTACAGAATATTCTGTATCACTGGAATAAGTGTTTCCATATTTCCTGCTGCAAGTTTTGCCACTTGTCTGTGTGTGTTCACCTGGTTCTATATGAATGATTGGACTCTGCTTTCTATTATTGTATTTCACTTTAATTTCCTTTCCTACAATGCTCACTTTCAGTGAGGTGTTCTTGTTGCTGGCAATTTGTATTTTGTGTTTAGCGGATGCCTTGTAATTTTCATTGTCATCTATAGAATGGGCAGTTGATGGATCCTGACACTTATGGCACTTGGAATAGTGGCTTTTCTGGTATTGCTTGTCACGATAGCACTTTCTCTTCTTTGGACATTTCTTTTTCTCAATTACAAGGCTTGTTCCAGAATCAAATAATAGGCCCTTCTTAATTTCTACTTTCATATTAAAACCACCACATTTTAATTCTGCAGTAAGTACTTCACTAGCCAAATCAAGGGGTTCTGCAGAGCTTGGGTTGTGCTTCAGTGTAATTTTTCCTGTTGATAAGGCTTCTGATTCATCAAAGGTTACCACTGCAAGGACCTCTTCCTGATGATGAGAGAATGCTGGTGGAGGGCAATCTTTTTCTTTCCCTCCTTCTTTTTCACTGTCATCTGTATTTTCTTGTTCTTTATCTTCACATGCACCTGAGTTATTCTGTTGCCCAGTCATTGGTGTACAAGAGTGATCTTTCCTGTTTTCTTCAGATCTCTCCATGTCCACTGGCTCAGGGAAATTAGTTTCCACTGGGTCCTCATCTGCTTTATTTTTAAGGCCTTTTACATTTTGCTGGCATTTACAGATGGCTGGCAAATGTTCATCTAAATTGGAAAAAAGGAAGAAAGGCTTTTGCAGTGGTCTATGTAAGCAGCATCTTGAAATGTATTATAAGGCCTTACAGTGTTTTTCATATTCAGTGCTTATGTCACTGAGGAGCTATACTTTAGAAATACTGTGTATACCACAAGAACTGACCTATTTTTCTTCTTTTTAGTATCACTCGACTACACATTTTATTTAAATGTAATTTATTTGTTTTACAATATAAAGCCAAGTAAACAGTGTCTCTCACACTAAAAATCAGCCTACTCACATGAAATTAGTAAGAACCATACAATTTTGTCTTTAAAATGCTCACACATGAGATTTTACACAGTACAAATGTACTATGCTATAATGTGTTCATTTAGAAAGATCTACTTTTCTTTCTCTCTCCCGTGGGATTTTTGTTCCTCTCCTCAGCACACAGTGGAACAATCAATATCCTATTGCATGGTTGCAATTTTGGGTACGTTACATGGGACTTGTACTTATTATAATCCTTTTACAGATGAGCAAACAAGGTAATTAATTAATTTAGCCAAGGTAACACAGCAAGTCAGTAGCAAAGTACCCAGGCATTATAATGTTCTAACTATTAGAGAACACTGTTTCCCAATGGGAGTTGTTCTGTGCAAGATTTCTTCTGTAAATTACATGAAAATCTGTCTTGTTTGAGACCTTTTTGAATAGATTTTAAATAGCAAGGACAATAGATTATAGTAGCATCTACTTAACCAGGATTAGTTCTGCTATTATACTTTATTAATTTTCAGAAATATATTGTTCTCATTTTTGTCCGTACTATAATTTCTGCACACAAGAAGTCTGAAATAAATTTGGGACATTTAAACAATACTACCTCTGCCTGCACATGCCCAGAAAGAGACAGGAGAGCAACCCAACAACAAACCAAGTCTCAGGAAGAAACCACCTCTATTTATAATTATTTAATATGGATGCCTTGGCATAAGCAGAAAACTGATAGCCTAAGCAGGAAATAACTTTAGGGAACTAAGATGCACTGATATCTGTCTTTAATCTTGTTTTAATTATGTTACTATAACTCAAGTATTTCTAGACAATGTCTGGAGAATGACCAGACATTGTGCTATACATTCAAACTAACCATTTCATGAACTTACATTCTCTGGGATCTGAGCTTTTTCTGCCCTTGCAGCTTTTTCTTCTCTTTCTGCTCATTTCTGAGACCTGAGGACATCCAGATTTTACTCTCCTGGGTGGGGAAAAAAAACCATTGAATCATAAAAATTATTCCCTATTCAACTGCAAGGTTGCTTTCTTTTCTCTAACTTGGCTTCTCTTTCTGAGTCCATAAGCCCACTGATCGGAATTCTGAATTGGAAATAGGAGCTTAAGCATCTAGTTGTTTCACTTGGTCAATCAGGGCCAGATTTTCAAATCTATTTAGACGCTAAGGATGCAGGTAGGGCCTAGTGAGATTTTCAGAGGCAAGGTCACAATCCGATACCTGGTTCCTCCCTTGCTTTAGGATGTATGGTAGAAATAACTCTCACCAGCATCATACCTGGTGCAGCTTACTTCCTCATCTGTGCTGGGGGTACAGTGGAGATGGGAGACCTGAGCCAAAGCTCCATCCACTCCTTGCCCTTTTGTATTGGAGTGGGTGTAGCAACCCCAAGGAGGCTGCTACCCACAATGTGGGTAGTCCATGCAAGGGAACAAGAGAACAACTTACATCACCTTGTGCATATGTAGTGTAGTTGTAGCCCTTTTGGACTCAAACAGGAAAATGATAAAAGACAAAAACAGCCTATCACCTGTGGGTGAATACTTTTCACAATGCAATCATTCCATATCTGACCTATTAGTACTCATCCTCAAAGAAAAACTGCACAACGCTTTCAAAAGACGAGCCTGTGAGCTCTGCTAGTCACTAAAAAATCATGGACTGAACAGACACACTGGGATTTATGGCTTATTACAACAATCTGTAACCCCCCTAACCCCCTCTTTTTGTCCTATGATTACAGAGGAGTTAACGGGCCACTCTACCTTGAATGACCCTTTAGAATATGTTCTAACTACACCTTGCATGTGCTGTGAAGCCATACCTTTCCCAGACCTGAAGAAGAGCTTTGTGTGGCTCCAAAGCTTGTCTCTCTTTTTCACTAACAGAAGTTAGTCTAATAAAAGCTATTACCTCACCCACCTTGTCTCTCTGACCACCTTGTATAGTCACATAAGACAGCAAACAACTGAGCCACCAACAAATTAAAAACCCCTGTGAGAAGCATAGATACTTCCCGTAGATACTTCTCCTGTATCCCTCAAAACATACTTTGTGTTTTGTAAAGTGTTGTGTACATCAACAGTGCCCTATAACATAAAATAAATGCATTTATCAACAATTAAAATCCTATATAATTTAAGTATAGCCTTGTAAATAGGCTGTTGGTGCTTATTGTCAGGACAAATATTGACGTTAGCACTGGAATACAATATTTTATGATGCAAGCTGAGTTTGAGAAAGCGGCTGTGTAGTGAATATATTGCTTTCTGATGGGGCATTTCAGCCACATCACTTGTTTGATGTGCTACTTAAAGAGTGCTCTTTTTTTAAAATGAACATTTTACTAGACAAGGAAATGATGCTCTGTAGTTCAAACAAACAAAAAGGCTGAATATAAGCTGTGCGCGCACATATAGAGGCACCTTCTCTTCAGATATAAAACTTGCTAAATGGAAGAGTAGATTTCAAATTAAGGCTAGTCTGGTGTGTCAAATCAAAAAGAGTGCTGCTCACAATTCATAGGGGTGCAGCTCCATGACAAAGTAGAAGTTTCATTTGCGAGGTCCTTTCAGGGTTGGTGAGTTTTTTTTTTTTTTGAAGAATTTTCCAAATCTTTCCCTACAGGAAGTGTCACTGTCTGGGTGTATTCAAGCTTAATTCAACAAATATCAGTACTGGGGAGGAAGTGTGGCCACGTGGATAGTGCACTAGACAGGCACTCTGGTGACCTGAGTTCCATTAAGAGTTATTTTTCAAGCTTCATCATGCACTAGTGGTATCAACCAGCAGAGACTGCCATGGTTTGGCCTAATGGCAACTCTAATTTCTTCTTGATGAAGCTAGAGATTTTGGCTTGTAGTCTAAGACTAGGGTCCTGGTCTGGTGGCTCAGGTGGTTAAAACTGGTTGGTGGCTTCTTTCCCTCACAAGGAAAGCTGGATCATGTGTGATTCAGTCAGGGTGACTGGCTACAGTTACCCCTTTGTGATAGAGACTATGCTTGTTTATCAATTTACATTTGTGTGTTGTTATTATTAAAGTTGTGGACTCTGTGAGGTGTCTCTGTTCGATCCCCAGGGTCAGAAAACAATTGGCAAGTAAATCCTAAAAAGCACATAAATGAGCAACAATAATGTTGCTATTTCTACTACTTCTCCT